ACAAGAAATACTATTGAAATAAAAGGACACTAAATAGCAACTTCAATCAACATGAAAAAAATAAAGAGCACCGGTAAAATTACATAAATAAATTAAGATGATATAAATGTATTTTTTGTTTGTAACTCCTTTCTACTGACTTAAAAGACAACTGCATAAAGCAATAAATACAAATCTATGTTGATGGGCATAAAATGTATAAAGATGTAATTTATAATGATAACAGGGAGGGGGGAATGGAAACTATACAGGAACAAATTTTTTATACTATTGGAATTAAGTCATTATTAATCCAAACTGTTGTAAATTGAGATATTAATGGTGACCCCCAGGGCAACCACCAAGAAAACAAATAAATTATACATAGTAAATAAAATTACAAGAGAATTACAGTTGTACAGTAGAAAATAACTCATACAAACAACAAAAGAAGGCAGCAGTGGAGGAATAGAGGAACAAAAGGGACATATGAAATACAGAAAAGAAATAGCAAAATGGCTGACACAAATCATACTTTGTCCATCACATTAAATATAAACAGATTAAACTTTCCAATTAAAAAGCAGAGACTGGAAGAAAAGATTTAAAAACGTGATCCAACTACATGCTGTCTACAAGAGAACCACTTTAGATCCAAAGGCACAAATAGGTTGAAGGTAAAAGGGTAGAGGAGATATATCATGCGGAAGATGTATCAACCGAAAGAGCTGGAGTGGCTGTACTAACGTCGGACAAAATGGACTTTAAGGCAAAAATTGTGACTAAAGACAAAGAAGCACACTTTATGATGATAAAGGGTCAATTCATCAAGAAGAGATAACAATTATAAACATACAAGTGAGTGAAATAAGTCAGACACAGAAAGACAAATATCATATAATATCGCGTATATGTGGATTCTGAAAAAAAGAGTACCAATGAATTACTTACAAAACTGAAATAGAGCTCACAGATGTAGAAAACAAACTTATGGTTATCAAGGGAGGGATAAATCAGGAGACTGGGATCGACATATACACACTACTATATACAAAATAGATAACTACTAAGGACCTACTGTATAGCACAAGGAACTCACTCAGTACTCTGTAAAGACCTATATGGGAAAAGAATCTAAAAAAGAGTGGATATATGTATACGTATAACTGATTCACTTTGCTGTATAACAGAAACTAACACAGCATTTTAAATCAACTAGACTCCAATAAAATTTTTTTTAATATATAAGAAATTAGAAATAGAGCCCCAAGGTACATGAGGCAAACTGAGATCTTTAAGAGGAGTACAGGAAAAGCAGCTCTGTCCTAAATATTTGACCCCCATGACTCATTAGGGTGCTTAATAGTCTAGCACTAAGGATTTATTCCTTTGAGTTAAAGTTTTCTCTCCTTTAGAGTTCTTTGTTAAAGTATCAACATGGGCCTGAATACCACTGGCATTAACACCTTAGCTGAAATTGGTTTAAGACCCTTTGGAGCAGTGACCACTCATGACAGAGACAAAGGGTTGAGCCATTTATGATGGAGGATGCAGACGCCGCCTGTGGGTCTGGGGGAGAGAAGGGGGGAGGGGACTCCAAGACTGGGCAGGGAAAGAGTACAGGGCGGGGAGAGGTGGGAGAAAGTCGGGGTATCACAGAGGAACAGAAAAGACCCCAGAGGGGCTGTGAGGGGAATAAGTGTGGGACAAGGAGCAAAGTGACAGGGCTGTCGGTTTGGTGATGGAGCTCGTGGTGGCCACTCAGGGTGAAGGCAGCAGCAGACCCAGGAGAAGCCCAAGGAATCGGAATCGGGGAGCGAGCATGGGGCCAGGGATGCCGACGAGCACAGGGCATCCCTGGGTAAGCACCTGGCTGAGTCCGGGAGAACCACGGCAGGGAGGGAGAGTGGTGGGACGTGGGCCCGACTGGAGAACCAGGAAACCCGCAGGACAAAGACGGGTAGGGCCAAGAGGCAGCGCCAGACACAAGCTCAGAAGCCGGGGGAATGGGCTGGACAAGCAGGCACACAAACGAGGCGGTGTCCGTGCAGTTCCCAGTTACGGGAGGACGCTTAATGTTAGCTGCTGCTAAATCTGAAACTGAGGCAAGGCAAGGGGTCTGGGCAGAAACTCGACCTTGACCATGACCATAGCCCCTCGTTGTCAGCACCCATGCGCTCTGAGCACTTCACATGCACTGCCTCCCGTGATACCTAAACATCCCTGTGAGGTAGACATGGAAACCTCCCGTCTACAGACAGGAAACCTGCTTAAGGGACTTGCTCGGGGTCATGCCAGCAGCAAGGGGGTGGAGCTAGGAGGCTTTTCTGACACACTGTGCTAGGCTCTGGGCCGGGCTGGTGGCCACTGGGGTTGCTTCAAAGGAATAGGGAGGGAAGGGGCAGCTGAGACCCAGGGACACAGAACTTCTGAGAGTCTCTCTGAGTTCCCCCTCTGCCATTTTTTTTTTTCAGGTGGGGCTGGAGAAGGAAGCAGCAGAGGCCTCACGACCCTTCCTGCCCCTCTTTCTGCCTGGATCTTTGAGGGTTCGTGGGGATTTACCCAACATGCTGGAAGGCCAGGCACTAGGGTCAGCCCACCCTGCTCGAAACCCAAGCCAGGGACTACTAGTGTCTGGGGATACAGGCACCTGTGGGCTTGGGGAGCCCCGGCTACAGCCTGCTGGCGCCATGAGTCCCGTTGACATCTCTGTTTTTTGTCAGAAGCGGGAGAGCGTGTTCACTTTCTCCGTGCTGTCCCCTCTTTTCTACCTGCCCTCCACATGCACACACACAGACATTGGAGAGCCTCTTCTGGGTGACCCATCCCACTAGTGGGACCATCAGCAGTGCCGTCTCTTAGGGAAAGGAGCTTCCTGTGGGTCCCTTCACACCTGGACTGGGGGCCAGCGTAAGTCAGACACAAGTCCTCTGAACAGTAAGAAGCTGAAGCATCCAACAGCCCACCCCTTATTTTACTGATGCGACGGGGTCCCGGGAGGGAACAGGCTTGCCCAAGGTCCTGGGCACCTCCTGGTGCCCAGTGCTGGCTTTTGTCCCCCACCTCTGTGGGCTCCCAGGGGCCTACAAAGGCTGGACGAGAGAGAAAGTCTGCACGTGGCGGCTGGCACTTGCTTGTGGCCCATGGGCTCTGACCCTGAGGCTGGTTTGGGAAAGAGGCCACAGAAATACCCTTGGGAGCTCTGGCCGGTGGCTTTCCCTCCCGCCCCGCGGTCGGGCTGGCTGTGTGCAGGTGTCTTGAATCATCTTCTTGGAGGCCCGTGGATACTTTCTGCTCCCTTCCTTCCTGCATGCCCCACCGCACATGGACATCACCCAATTTCCTACAGGGGGCCTGGGTCTAGCCCTAGAATGGTCATAGGCAGTGATATTTATGATCATTGCATCCAAACTCCCAGCCAGGGCAAGAGTGCCCTTGCCAACCCCCTGGACACCAGCCAGTGACGCTGGAGTGCTGCCAGGTGTTGGGACCTCACCACCTAGCGGACGGGCCCACACACGGGCCCAGATCAGTCCCCTCCATCCAAATGCCCTGTGCCGGGGCCCTCAGAGGGGTGCCCAGGCCGACAGCTACCCTCTGTTCACGCTCAGACCCCAGCAAAATGTCAACATCACAGCCACACTTAAAAAAACAAAAACAAATAAAGCCTTCTAGAAAAAAGTAACATAAAGTGAAATCAGTAACTACGGACCTGGTGTTGGGCCTCCCTGCCTGCCTGTCAGTCTAACCCTGTTAATCATCATGTACAAATTTTGAAGAGCTATTCTGAGAAACATTTAGAAAATGGCTTTTACATAGCTATATATACTGATTTATACCCTCAGACATGGCCTCTCTGTTTAGCAACAGATGGTTTTGTTACCCTGGTTTTCTTTTCATCTCCTAGTCAAAGTCAAGCAGTTAGTAAGCCCACTCCCTGACCCCAGGCGTACATTTATCGCCCACTCTCCACCTTGGCGTCAGGGGTCTGGCTGGGCGGCAGGGAGCAAAGGCTGTGGTTTTTGGAAGGCGTGGCTCCAGAGAACCCAAGGGGACAAATACTGGAGGCATGGTGGCTGCTGAGAGAGGAGGGGCCCGGAAGCTTGGGAAGGAGCAGGACCAGTGAGGGGAGAGGCTGGGACAGGATGCAGGTGCCCCAGTGTGCTTTTCTCAACACCCGCGGGCATCTCAACGTCCACGAAGCACCTGCCAAGGGTATCCCACTGCCATCCAGAGAACAGGCTCCAAGGCCAGACCAGCTGCCCCAGTGCTGTGTCTTTGGCCTACAGGAAGCAGCAGGTCTGCCTTGCTCAGTTGCCATGGCAACCTCAGCGCGCCCCCCC